TACCCCACTACTACCTCACCACCACCACCACTACTACCCCCTAACACACTACCACCACCACCACTACTACTACCACCACCACCACTACTACTACCACTCCCACACCACCATAATCCTCCACTCTACACTACCTCACTACCACCACACATATACTACCTACCACCACCACTACTACCACCACTACCATCACCACCTACTACCACTACCACCACCACTACTACTACCACTACCACCACCTACCTCGCCCTGGTGGTTTCTCTTCATTAGGCATAACATCAAGTATATTTGGTTGTTGTGTTCATTATTTATAGGACATGTTGTCGCGCACGTATATCCTTAACCGGGACGATTCGATTAAAGCTAAAAAGAGTTTTCCATGTCTAATGAAACGAAATTTATAAGAAAAATAATACATCCCGTATATTCGTTGAGACATGGTTTGATTAAAATAATAATGGCTGCTTGTTATTGGGGGAGGGGTGTGGGGAAGTGGGGGAGGAGAAGTGGGAAGGTAGTATGTAAGAATTTGACTTTTTGTCGTCTAATAATGGTCACACACACACACACACACACACACACACACACACACACGGTCGTTTCTGTTTACTGACACGGGGTTGTGGAACTAATGGCACGAGATGACGTCAAAGAACACCGATTATTCTCTCCCATATTGAGACGAAATTTGGTTGAGGATTATTAAGGGTCTTTAAGTCATCGTACTGAAGGGGTTAAGTCATCGTACTGAAGGGGTTAAGTCATCGTACTGAAGGGGTTAAGTCATCGTACTGAAGGTTGTCATCGCACTGATGGTGTTGTCATCGTACTGAAGGGGAAGTCATCGTACTGAAGGTGTTAAGTCATCGTACTGAAGGGGTTAAGTCATCGTACTGAAGGGGTTAAGTCATCGTACTGAAGGTTAAGTCATCGTACTGAAGGTGTTAAGTCATCGTACTGAAGGGGTTAAGTCATCGTACTGAAGGGGTTAATAAGACACAGTGTATATGATAACTCTCTTATTATCGGCACGTCTCATAAATAAAACACTGAGTTCTTTTATTAGGGGCTCAATTGTGAAGCCGCTATAGGAGACGAGCCAAAGGAAGTCATTTAAATCCTCTTTTCTGGCCCCCGTCTTTCCAATGAATATATAACACTTGTTTATTTTGTTAAGGGAAAATACAGCATGTGAACGGTATAGTATTATCTTATCGGCACAGAGTAAACAACACACAGTTTATCGGTACTGAAAACACACACACACACACACACACACAACACACACACATTTTTGATCATTAGAAAGTAAGGTGTGGAAGTGAACTTACATACGTCACTGACTATAATAACTCACTAACTCCAGTATACGATGAATAGGGACGAGTAGTTCATAAGATAACGAGTTGATAAGATAACGAGTTGGTCTTGATGGTGGTGGGTGGCAGAGCCCTTGACAACAGACCAACATGCAACAGGGAGAGCTGGGAGGAGGTGTACCGTATGCAACAGGTATACGGGAGGCTCTCACACACACACACAACACACACACACACACACACACACACACACACACACACACACACACACACACACACACACACACACGAACATCAATACAATTAATCTGTTATTTCATCCATTTACTTTTTGTTTTGTTTTATTCCAACGTAATTAGTGGATAATTAGGGATACACAGGTGTGGATAGAGCCACGGGGTGCAGGGATAGAGCCACACGGGTGCAGGGATACACACAGGTGCAGGGATAGAGCCCACAGGTGCAGGGATAGAGCCACACAGGTAGATAGAGCCACACAGGTGCAGGGATAGAGCCACACAGGTGCAGGGATAGAGCCACACGGGTGCAGGGATAGAGCCACACAGGTGCAGGGATAGAGCCACACAGGTGCAGGGATAGAGCCACACAGAACCTCACACTCATACTCCAACAGCCAATGTGTCTGTCTTTTTCTAACACTGTCTATCCTGCTGTCGAAGAGGCCTTTTACAGTCTCCAATCAGAGTAGGTGATTTGGAAGGGTCCTTATGTTCTGTTACACTGATTGGTTGGCACACTGTATGGGCGGGGCTATGGCACCCCATATAGGTTGACATGTTTTTCTTTGTGGCTGTAACTAGTTGTGTCCATCTGGTCTGACAAGTGCCATAAACATTGTAACGGTCGTTGACATGGGTGTATGGGTGCCTGCCTGTGTGGGTGTTCCTGTTTATTACAACAGGGATAACAGGTACACTTAACAGGTGTTGATGAGGGAAGGTAAACACTCTTAAATTACCGTTATCTATTACAGAAGCAAAGACTGAGTGAAACATGGTGTATAACTTTTTTCAAAAATTTAATGAATAAAATTATAAGATGATGGTCGCTATATATATATATATATATATATATATATATATATATATATATATATATATATATATATATATATATATATAATATATTTTTTTTTTTTTTTTTTTTTTTTTTTTTTACGCATTGACTCCAAAGGTTAAGAATTCCCCGTTGTCATAATGACCAAACGGGGCCACAGATTTAGTGAGGAGACCGATCACTGAACTACTCCGAGGTCTCGTTAGGATACAGCCACACACCAGGTTTCAGCGAGATCCATGCCTATTGGTTGTGGTTATTGCCTGGACAATGTGCCAAGACGGACGTACACAAGCGCACCAGATATGTCCCCTAAGAACTCCCAAAAAGAATAATCCATACATACCACACTCACCCCCCCCACCTCCCTCCCTCCGTACCATCATGAATGCGCATGACAAAACAGAACTTCACAAAATAGGGAGAACTTGTTGTGTCGTTACCTCACACTAAGTTCCATTAGAGTTTTGTTGGTACTGTGTGTGTGTGTGTGTGTGTGTGATGCTTTACCCAGATAGAATGACAGAAGTGATCCTAACTCCCAGGACAGAGGACGACGAACACTATTACTGAACAGGACAGAGAGAGACTCGCACGAGGAAACACTGTATCTAACTCTGAAACTCAGGATCAGTTTGCTCTAAAAATATCGCGTTTACATCTTAGACAAATACACAGACGGGTGGACACACTAACACACACATTTAAATTCCTCTACCCCGCTATAAGGCGAAGTTAAAACCAGGAGGTGGACGAAGAGGAGAACGAAGAGGAGGAAGAGGTGGACGAAGAGGAGGAGGAGAACGAGAAAGAGGAGGAGGTGGACGAAGATGAGAAGAACGAGGAGGAAGAGGAAGACGAGAAGGGGGACGAGGATGACGAGGAGGAGTAGGAATTTGCATAACATTTTATCATTCAATTCGCATCTAAAATCCCACCACTGACCAAGCCATTAACACTCTCACATCATCAGCCGCCGGACTCAACCAAAACATTGATCTTCCAAACATTAAAGGTGATTCAACCAACTTATGTCAACCACGGAGGAGCCACACCCACTACACCTTAATACGCGGAGGTGTGGAGGGGTGGTGTGGAGGGGTGGTGTGGAGGGGTGGTGTGGAGGGAAGGAGGGGTGGTGTGGAGGGAAGGAGGGGTGGTGTGGAGGGAGGGTGGGTGGGAGGGAAGGAAGGGGTGGAGGGAGGGGAAGTGGTGTGGAGGGAAGGAAGGGTGGTATGGAGGGTAGGGAGGGTTTTATGGAGAGGGAAAGGAAAATAAGAGGAAGAGGGTGTAGGTGTGGAGGGGAGGGGTGGGGAGGGTGGAGGCATGGAGAGTGGAAAGAATATGTACAAAATAAGACACATTAACCTCTACCTGCGGGGGTTGGGTTAGGTTTAGTTACAGGTTGATTAGCTTAGGTTACGGTAGGTTAAGGTGATCATCTTCAGGTGAAATAAACTGGGGTGTCTAATCTTCAGGTGACCCGCCGCCAAGGGTAGTGAAGACAATATACGCTGTACAAATGTCTGCCAAAACACCCAAGGAATGTTTTCTTTTTTGGAGGGGGGGGGAGGGAGCTATGACAGTGACCTTCTGACCTCAAAATCAATAGGTTGGTGTGTAACTTGAAGGACCACTCCCAGGTTAAGTTTGGTGAAGGTGCGATGCGTTGGGCGTAAGTTATCGTGAGGACATCAACAGAGACTCCATTATGACGCCCCATTGAGACCACTAAATAATGCTACGTTTAATCATCTTATTTTCATTCTTTGTCTTATTTAATTATTAATTTATTTTTCTTATTCAATTTTTTTATAAATATAATTATTAAACTTATATATTATTACGACTAATTATTAACATCTTCTTTCATTAATTAAGTCCAGGTTTTTTTTCAGTATAATTTTTTATTTACCTGACGATTAGACCCTCCCAGCTTTATTTCGCCTAACGTAACTTGATCCAATTTAACCTAACCTACCTAACTTAACCCAACTTGACCTAACTTAACGTAACCTAACCCATTTGACTCGTGGATATTTCCTCCCTACCATAAAAAAGTCGGTTTCTGGTCTGGAATCATTGGTCTTAGTGGTCTGCTTCAATTGGTCTGCCTCCAGTGGTCTGTGGCCTAACTCCAGTGGTCTGTCTCCATTGGTCTGTGGTCTAACTCCAGTGGTCTTTGTACTGTCGCTTGTCTTACTTATCTGGTCTCAGTGGTCTATACGCAACGGTCCTAATGGTCTACTTTCATTGCTCTGTAATTTTTGTTTGGCCTCGCCTGTCTGGTTCGTCTCAAAGGTTTCTATCACCAAGACTCAGCGATGAATCAAGAGAGAGACCATCATTGCTCTGGTCTCTAGTGGTCTCCCCGGTCTCAGTGTGCCTTGTTTGAGTAGTGCGGCCACGTCAGGTCTGGGTGGGTGACGCCTCCTCACACACACACACACACTCTCTTTAGTTACTATACAACAAACAGATGTTATCTATAACATTTCCTTTTCTCCGGTGTGTAGAATGAGTGATTAAATTTTAAACTGGAATAAAAACATGGAAAGGAGCGGCAAAATCTCGCCATTGAAAGACAAAATAAAAGGAACTACCTACCTCAATGCCAGACATGATTGCTTAGCACGGGTTTTGTTTTTCTTTCACTTGTATGTCTTACACAAAACTTGCACCTGAGAGTGATGTTTTGCCACTACAAGACGAGTGAGTGTTGGCTGGTGTCAATCCCACAAAGTTGAAGGCAGTACTACCGTCCCTGTCTCCCGCCCTACGCTTTACAACTCCCGCCCCGCACCCCCACACCCACCTCAGCGCCATCTTGCGTGCATTCCCTCAGCGTATCGTTCACCTCCCACGCAACTCTCTCCCTGAAAAAAATAACCATAAATAACACGAGATAATTCTCTTCTATAAGTCATAACAATACCCTCAAGCAATGCATTAATAAATTCAACGGTTGAAATTATATTAATGATAATTTAGATAATAAAGGATGACATGAATAATGAGGGATAAAAGGGATAGAAAATGGACGAAAGGAAAGTAAATGAATGAAGTGTAGTGAGCAGCCCACGATCCTCGGGCTAGCCTGGGCCACTGAGCGAGCACAGTAACACATCCTCCCCACCGAGTCACGGACAGGAAACGGTACACAACATTGGTCGCTACTAATGTATGACGCAGAAACCCACAATGATATAACACCTGAAGCCATTATATTACATTTAACATAAGAAATGGAGTAATATTCTTATATACAATTGAATATAAATGTCAAATGTCGGAATGTTCACTCAAAGGAGTTCAAAACACGACTTTTGGTGTAGACGAAAGCTGTCAAAAAGAGGAGATTAGACACGTCGCTGAAGAAAGACATACGTACAGAGACAGAGAGAAGAGAGATATATGACACACGAGAGGACGAGGAGACAGCTTAATTTAGGAGACAAGGGAGAAGGGAGATAAAACTAAAGAAACAAGGGCAGAAACTAATGTATACATGCGAACAAAGGAACGAAACGATACGGAAATGAGAATAAAGTGAGAAAGAGGAAAATATGCAGAGCAAAGGAATAGTTTCATCATTTTCAATGTTTTCTGCGTCACACTGTGTCATCAGCCGCGGCGTGTGTTGCACCATTCATCTGTTGTAAGTACGAACCACCTCCTGCGCCGCCACCACACCTGTTCCACCACCATTACTACCACCACCCACACACCTGTGACACCACCACCACCATGGCCGCTCACAAGATGAGTATGGGGTGCACAATAAACTAGCTGCTGTCCGCGGCAAATTAAGAAAAAATCAAATTCACACCTGTACAACCACCAACACCACTACCCCCAAACCGGTGCCACCAGCCCTACACCTGTAAGACCCCACCACTACCACCACGACCACACCTATGCCGCTACCACCACCACACCTTTGACAACATCGACACAACACCTGTGCCACCACCAATACCACACCTGTACCACTACCAATCCCACACCTGTGCCACCACCAATACCACACCTGTACCACCACCAATACCACACCTGTACCACCACCAATACCACACCTGTAACACCACCAATACCACACCTGTGCCACCACCAATACCACACCTGTACCACTACCAATACCACACCTGTACCACCGCCGATATCACACCTGCGCCACCACCACCACACATGTGCGACCAAAAATACCACACCTGCGCGACCACCAATACCACATATGTGTCTCCACCAATACCACACCTGTGCCACCACTACCACATTTTCACCACCACCACATCTGTGCCACCACCACCACACCTGTACATCACCACACCTGTATCACCACCACCACACCTGTACCACCACCACACCTGTATCATCACCAAACCTGCACCACACAATATAATCAACAGTTGCATCCAAAACACTGGCGTTACTTTCTTAAACACAACATTACATATTATGATAAAGGGCTGTTGATGAACTGATCTCAAGGTAACACACGTAATTAACCTGTCGCGTGGGACGCCTCGCTAATGGGATGTTGCCTTGGTAACTGTACGCTGCCCTCTAACGTAATTCACTTTGGTGTTTCCGTATGTATTGTAATGAGGATTTGGCGAGTTTCAATTGTATTTTTTTATATACCTTTTCCACCAATTGTTGTTATGTGTTTATTTAATGTTCTTTCCTTATTATTATTATTATATTCTTCTTATTATTATCATTAGTAATAGTAGTAGTAGTAGTAGTAGTAGTAGTAATATATTTTTAACAAAACGTGGCCTCCAGCTTCCCCCAATAGCCACACCTTCGCCGCCATTTTATTACCTTAAAATTAACTATCCTAATACAAAAGTAGCTACAAGGGTTTCCTTCCCGGGATCTCGGCCGTAAGTGGTTATGTTTTTTTCCCGGGAATTTGGTTCAAATCCCGGGATTCTTATTGTTATTCCTTATCTCTGATTTGCACCATGTAAAATACAATAACGCATTGGCAGCCACCAACTAAGGATAATATGGAAATATCTGTAGAAGAACAAATGACACTCACAGATAACTCAAGGCAGCAATAGAACAGGTTCAGAGTAAAAGTAGAAAGGTGTATGAATGCAAACATATTAGGAAAGAGTTCGATGTGTTTGAGGCAACAGGAGAGAGAACACATAATTTAGAGAAACTATTCCAGGCCCTCATCTCAGTACCACCAAGTTCAGTTGAAGCCTAAAGGGCATTTTCAGCTGCTGGCCTATTTATTACAAAACTAACAACAAGGCTCACTGACCGCAGTGTTGACTGTTTGTGCTTCTTGAGGAGTTATTTCATGACCAACTATTAGTGTTTGCATGGCTTTGTGTGTGCAAATGATTCTATTCCTTTTTTTTCGCAGGTCATTCAAGTGTTCTCTTTAAGTTTTGTTGTAGAGTAGGGCTTCCAAATGGCATAGAATAATTCTTTTTTTATAATGGCTAACTTTGAATGTCATTCCAAATATCATTGAGTTTCTTTTGTGGCTAACAGAATGAGGTTGACTGTTTATGCTTCTTGAAAAGTTATTTCATGAACAACTTTTGATGTGTGCGTGACTGTGTGGCTTGTGTGCACAAATGATTTTATGCTATTATTTTTTTCACAGGTCATTCAAGTGTTCGCTTTATGTTTTTATAGAATGTGGCTTCCAAATTGCATTATACAAAAAATTCTTATTTTTTATAATAGCTAACTTTGAATGCCATTCCAAATGTCTGTGAGTTTCTTTTATGGCTAACGGAATGAGATTAATTAAAAATTTGCTTGTTTAATCATATTTTGTACCTATTTTTACACCAGTATGCAAGTTAATAAAAAGAACTTTGCTTCAGTGTAATATAATTTATCAAATCAATTGCCTATCAAATAATCTACAGATACTACACTAATGAAGTATAGGGTTAGCATATAGCATTAGTTAGCACAAATATCACCTGATGCGGGAAATCCTGGGATCCCGGGAAATATCCTGGTTTGTCCCAGAATCCCGGGATGCGAATAAACCCCCCAAAACAGGAAACCCTAGCTAGCTACCCTGGCTTTGTTGAGCCTGTGGAAAACCCAGCGACAACTGACCCCTCTATCCAGTATATAACCTAACCTAACCCAACCTACTGACACTCCTTGGTCTTTCGGGGAATGTATCTTTGTACAAGATTAAGTTTACCTACAGTGTACAGGAAACGTTCACGTGGAGAATGTAGAATTGGGTGTTCCTGTATTGTTCTACCGAGAGCCTTTAATACTTCCACTCCATCTGTTGGTAGCCTCTCTCACAACTAGATCGTCAGTAGTAGTAGTAATAAAGTTAGGTTAGGTTAGGTTTTGTGTGAAACTTATTCATTTCTAGGGTATTACGATGATGCTCCCGAAGATTTTTGGGCAGTTACGTGTTTCCAAAAAGGGAAATAAAGGGAAGGTAGGTCGGTAGGTAGGTAGGTAGGTAGGTAGGTGGGTAGGTAGGTAGAAAGATATATATAAAATGGAGTCATATATTTAGTATAATGGTAATACAAATTCACACTGATTCGGCGTGTACATTGGCAGTGCAGGTATACAAATAATGTATATAGACCGTGAATTTATACAAATAATGTACATAGATAGTGCAGGTATGCAAATAATGTAAACAGATAGTGCAGATATACAATGTATACATAGGTATTGTGTATATACAACGCACATAGACAATACAAGCAAACAATGTAGATAAAATGCATTACACATAGATAAATAAAATATACCCCCTTCGTGTTTTGCAAAATTTTTGAGTTCAACTATTTTGAGAATGTAAAAACGGAAATATTAATTACTTTTCAAATCTGCTAATTACGAAGACACTATCACAGCCCACTAGCGTCGCGGCACCTGTGATATCACCCATTTCCACAACAGGTAAAATGTGCCCACCATCAACCCTAACCTAACCTAAATGTTCTTAGATGGTTAGGTTAGGTTAACTAGATGAGATTTGGGTTTGTAGCTTAAATTGGGCTGTTTAAAAGTTGTCTGTACACACTCTTTCGAATAAGTATCGTTTCGATTTTGTGAAAGACAATATGACAAAACGGACGACAGATTTTGACAACTTCTTCCGAGACAACAGAAGTCACGGTGTTTATTTTGTATTTATCCTTCTTAGTTACTTGAACATTTTCCATTCTTAAAAGGTGTCATAAATTGTCACTGACGACAGAACGGCTTTATTTACAATCATGGTCTGTGGATGGGGATGCGGGCATAAACGGTACTAACCCCACGCCGTCTTTCCCAGAGCTGCATACATAAAACAGTTGGTTTAAGCTGCGACCTTACTTCCGTCAGGTTGACCTCTTCTGTCACATTATTAGGGCAGACGAATTTCATGTGGCCCTGAGGTCCTTCGGTAATATTGATCTTCTGGCAGTGAGATCCTGGAACAATTGTCGAATTCATGGAGAGTTCTTCGTCGGATCCGTACGCGCCATCAGAAGGGAACATAGAAACCATTCTCACGCTGCAAATGGCGATGACCAACACCAAGGAAAACACTATCATCCGTGACGCCATTGGAGATCAGGACGGCTGTTGTGGCAGTAGAGTAGACAAGTTTATAAGTTATAACAGTGACTGCAGGTTGTTGTTATACTGTTATAACTACGCCTCAACAACGAAGGTCTTTAAACACTTAGAGCAAGGTGAGTAACACACGACTACAACGATGATAATGAGTTGTCTGAGAGAACCCTCCTGTGTTACTCCAAGACAGGTACTGGG